CAGCTACTACAGACCTTTGGCTTAGCAATTAATTTAAAATTCATTATATTTCTCAAGGTTCGTCTCACTCAGATCCCATGTTGTATCCGCTGTTCTTCCCGTACAGCGAGGCCGGTTGGCATAACGAGATGTTGCAAGAGGGCTCTCAACGAAATAATGTCCGCAGTCGAAACTCTATAAGAGAGTTTGCGTGCTACCGCGTGGCCATTCGATACGAGGCACCAATGGTTCAGTTCGATACATCAGGGCCGGTCCTTGTTTCACCAGTACCTGTGCGACCACTACGTTCAGATGGAAACCAACAATCTGAACTACATACGTGAGCATCAGGGAGAAATCTTTGCCGAAGCGTATCAAGGGCTCGTGGACCATGTGAACGAACGCCTCATCATCGATCCTATGGCGGTCGGCTGTAGGGTCATTTTGCCGTCGACGTTCGGGGGCAGCGACCGATACAACAAGATGTGTTATCAAGACGCCATGGCCATGGTCCGCAGCAAAGGGAAGCCCGACCTGTTCATAACGTTTACGTGCAATCCCAGGTGGCCGGAGATCACGGAAAACCTGGCGCGTCACAGCTATGCAAATGACAGGCCCGAACTCACGGCCAGGGTGTTCAACTTGAAACTACAGGACCTACTTTGTGACCTAACTGTTAATCGTGTGTTTGGTGATGTCGACGCTTACGTTTATACAATAGAGTTTCAGAAACGCGGACTGCCCCATGCGCACATACTCCTGATCCTGGCGGAGGATTGTAAGTTTCACACCGCGGCGGACGTCGACGACGTGTTTTGCGCCTTCTTGCCGGACCCGGAGACCGACAGGCGCTTACACGACTGCGTGAAGTCCCACATGATACACGGACCGTGCGGAAGAGTCAACCCGCAGTGTCCGTGCATGGTGAACGGCAGTTGTTCGAAAGATTTCCCGAAAGCGTACGCAGAGGAGACTGTGTACGTCGGGGAAGGCGGTTATCCAAAGTACCGCCGACCGGACGACGGCCGAGTGGTACCTGTGAGAGGTCATGCGGTCGGTAACGGGTATGTAGTGCCATACAACCCTTACCTTCTGGCCAAGTACGACGCGCACATCAACGTCGAAATATGCACGTCCATAAAGAGCGCCATGTATATCTACAAGTACATATACAAGGGACACGACCGTGTGACATTGGTGGTGGAGGAAGAAGATGAAACTAAAAAGTGAGTTTTAACCTTACACTACACTTACTGATATAAACATAATTTCTCAATTTAACGTGTAAATAAATCATAAATATATAATAAGATTTAAGATAAGATAATGTATACATGTGTATGGTATAATGATTATAATAATAATACGTTTATTTAGTGTGTTCAGTGTGTATGAATTATTTACTACTATTCACCAATAGGTACCTCATACATTATACATTATATTATATTATTGTATTATAATATATTTCATTAAGTCCACCAACTAACAGTTCTATTTTACTACCAAAATGTTCCAATATTAATAACAGTCTATTATGATAAATTTGTGTTTTGTTTTTGTCTTCGATCATTTGAATGGATATTCTTGCTGTCATGTTTGATGTTTCTATTTCAGATAAATAAACTTTAAAATTACTACTATCGGCAGCTGATGTCGCTAAAATAGATAGAACTGAATCTACATAACAAGTATTATTCAGAACTACTTTTCCTACGCTTGGTACCATTATCGGTTTGTTGATTAGACTATTTCCATTTTTCAATAATACTACTGGAGTTATGTTTCCCCGCTTATTTAGGTCTAAAAACTCAAATCCTGGTTGGAGATTAAGGTATGATCGTGAACTTCGTTTTTTCTTTTTAATCATACTTTTTCTATTCCAGTTTTCAGTTGCGTTGGTCTCAACTAATGTTGATTTTATTTTATCGCATTCAAAACAAATTCTACACTCACCGTGTCCTTCCTCCGTTCCTTGAATAGATATAGAACACCCAAATAAATGAATAGGCTTGTTACATTCTATACATTCGTGTGCTCCGTCGGAAAATCTCCATTATTACATGCATGGCATGTTGATTTTAAAGTTGATTGGCATTTATCTGTTGTTGAAGTCACAATTATATCTTTTGAAATAGGAATGTAGTGTAAGGAAGCCGGTTCACTTTCTACTAATGACTCATTTACGTCAAAATCATTTTGCATATTATACAATGTATCATCGTAATTGCCATATTCTGGAGATCGAATAATATTTTGATTATTAGAAATGTAACTGTTGCTATTGCATATGGTTTCATCGACATCTGTTTCCAATTCACCATATGATTCTCCTTGTATTAAAAGTTCATTCCCTCTATAATATGATAATAGTTTTTCCACAAATGAATCAACTCGTATCGGTAGTTTATCATACATGGTTTTTTATGTGATTGAAATTACTTTCGATACGGCTACTGGATGCGATTTCTTCACCATATCCAAATGTATCTATCATAATTGCTGACCAACAAGGAAATAGTTTGAGCGTTCGGATTATGATCGGTTCAGGTGCAAGCAAATATTGTGCATTATCAGTAGTCCCTTTTATTGAATCCACTTTAGCTCTAGACCTATCTGCAATTGATTGTGTCCACCCTTTAAAAGTCATGATGTGTATGTTATCATTATCAGTTATATCATTATCACTTGTCGTATCAGTTACATTTTCTTCTTCTTCTACGTCATGATAATCGTTGCCGTTGGTTTTTTCTAAAATGTTTGTGATATTTGTCGTTGTGATCAATGATTGTAAGTATCGTTTAGCCTTATAACAGGGTGTCAATGTCTCAGAGTTTTCAACAAATCCGTCATACTTACTCAAAATAATATCAAATAAAGCTTCCAATATTTTTTCAACATTTTCGATGGTTGAACAGACAACGAGAAGTCCCATTGTCCTTGTAATTATTTCTTTTGAACTAGGATAAATTGAATTTTTAACCGGGCCCCACTGTGACACAAGATGAATGAAATGATTTACGTCATTCCTTAAATAACACGAGGGTATTTCAACAAATTCTTTTTTTACTACCAAAGAAAAACATGCTTCTAAGTATCTATCTAGTGAAGAGTACTGTGTAAATGCCTGTATTAGTCCAGACATAAGTGCAAGAGACTGGTCACATATGACAATTTTAGGAGGCTTAACATTACATCTCAGCCACCTTTTAAGCCACACTGTTATTGATAGGTTGTCGTGCTGTTCTGACAGCATTGATAAGACAGTAAAACTTTTAGAATTCAAATTCATAACACCTTCGTATAAGAATATTGAACCACTCATTTCATTGTTTGGTCTTTTTATTTTACGGCAACATCCACCTGTTGCATCGAACATTATTGTCGGAACATGGTCCTTTAAACAATGTTCTCGGTATATTTTCAACTGTAGAGGACTCCATAAATGAACAAAAAATTTATCGAATCCAATATCATGAATCGATGATAAATTATCGCTGTTGTTTTTCAATAAAGTTAATGCAATAATCGGGTCCGAATGTAGCCTAGTTGCGGAAACTTCTCTGTACCTAAGTGCTCTCAGAGCTTCGGTGTTAGGTATTGATGCAGGTATTGGATCACCTTTGAAATCAAAAACAGAAATTTAGATAGTTTCCATTTTTTAGTAATCCAAAATGTTATAGGTAAAAATGTATAGGTAGTACAAAATATTTGTTTTGATTTCATCGTTAACTAAAATAAACTTCATTAAGAAATTTGGTAGTGGATTTAAGGAGGTGAAGGGCAAAATTCAGGTTACCCTCCATTTAGAAGTTCTAAAAATCGTTAAATAAATAAAATAGTTAGGTAAGTAATGACTCAGTCAGTGGCGAAACGAACGTGGTCTTTGAGAAGCGGTTGCTAGTAAATTGTAGGTTTCTTATGGGTTATTTTAGGTTCGTTTCGCTACTCAGTCCGTTCTTCTATACAAAAGGTCTCAAACATTGAAGTATACGTTTTTATCAAGTACAGGGTAAGTCACTGTAATTTATTTATTATTTTTCGTTAAGTTAGTTTTGTGTTACTCGTATATTAATTTACAAATTATACCTTCTCTCATGAGGATTTGAGCTTTATTTCTTATATAGACTGATGGATCAGTAGACTCGAGCATCATTGATCTTAAGGCATGTGCTTTTTCTAAGCCCATCAATCTCCTTTTTCCAAAATGTCCAACACGAAAATTTCCTATGTATACGCAATCCATAACAACACTACATGTATACATTTAAAACAAACACATATACATAAGATTATGCTACAATAAATATATTATAATTCAATTAAAAAATCTTATTGATACTAACCGGGTATCTATTGCTGGCACTGAATCTATCGACCCTTGAAAAAAAGACCCACACTCTGAACACCGACCACTCAGTGACACAAATTTCATTCCAGACAAGGAGATATTCGCTTTTTTGAATGAAAGACTGCATGGCAATCGGGTATGTAAGAAAAAATTGTCTTGCACTCCATTCAAATGCTGTCATCATTGTGTAGGTTCTGGGTCCTCTTTTTTCTTGATAAACTTTTTCACGTGGTTTGATTAATCTTCATTCTTCGACTGAAAATGTCACATTAAATGTTAGTTTTTCTTTTTCACCATCATCTTCATCTGTAAAATATTCAACATAGTATTCATTCGTTTTTGCGTAAACTGGAAATAAATAACATTGTTACGGTTATTAAATAATTAATGAAATCTGTAAAGCATTATTGGGTATTTAATCCACATAATATAAAAATAATACACTGTAGGGTGAGGTTGGCAATACCACCATCCTACCACCTCCGATGCCGCACTGTTGTGTGTGTGTGCGTGTAGTCCGTTACGTCTCTCACTAGTCTCGCTTTTAAATATTATGTACGTTAAAGTTAAACCATTAAACACTTATGAGTTATGAACGTTATTTTCTTTGTTGTTGTTTTATGAATTATATATTTTAACTTTTAATATTCCGATGTTATGTTGATTGATAATGGTTCGGCGTAAGAGTAACACCGCCTACAACTTCAGAAGTGGGATTAACTCGATTCAACCGGATGAAAACCACGGAGCCGTGCACATGCACGACCACGATGTCGCTGTCAATGGCGACGGCGTTCACGAAGCTGCCCTAACACCTGCGATTGTTACACCACCCGCGAGTGGCGAAGGTTCCAATCAGAATGCAACTCCTGACTTGAACGCAATGTTTCAATTACTGATGGAACAAAATCGTATGCTTATGCAACAACTCTCTGTTTCGAATTCAAAGACGAATAATGAACAAAGTAATTCGTTTTATGTCATGCCGGATTTGAACAAAAGTGTTAAGTCGTTTACGAGTCGCGAATCCGGCTCGGAAGCAAAGGATTGGCTCAAAACTTTTATTGGAATGGCCGAAATTAACAAATGGTCCGATGCATTAAAAATTGAGTCAATTCGTGCAAATTTGAATGGTCCAGCTCAGCAATGGTTTAAAAGTCGTCGGTTCAGCTCTTGGGAAAATTTTGAGCAACAATTTACGCGAACATTCATTGGTATTCCAAATCGTACAGAACTATGGCACGCATTGGTCGCTAGGACGCAATCGAAGAATGAAGCAACTATAGATTACTTTTATGATAAAGTACGTTTGTGCAGTGAATTATGTTTGTCATTTGAAGAGACAAAAACACAATTATTGGAAGGGTTTTATTCACAAAGTATGGTTACATATTTATTATCAAAACATCATACAGAAACTGACGGTATGTTTGACGATATTTTAACTTATGAAAGATTATATGAAATGCGTACAACCCTTTATGGCTCAAATAAACAAATCTCCTCAAGTAATTCAAATTTATTCATTAAAGCTAGTGCTCAAAAAAATGAAAAAAATAACTCAAGTCTAGAACCGAAGCAAACCTTAATCAAACGTTGTTTTAATTGCTATAGTACTGCACATACTATTATTAATTGTCCAGAACCTAAACGGTAGCCAGGGTCATGCTTCAAGTGTGGATCTACAGAACATCAACAACGAGATTGTAAGATTAAAATTAACAAAACAAGTCGAGGCACCAGTGAGGACTCAACAATGATGATTGAAATCGATGAGGCAAGTAATCCACCGTTTATGCTTGGTATTGATGTCATGTGTGAGACAACTCGTTGGACCACAGATGCGCTGATTGATACAGGTAGTTCAATTTCTATTATTGAGGAAAATGCTGTTCCTAAAGATGTAATTGTTATCCCTGCTAGTTCTAAACTTTCTGGTATTAATAAAAGTCCATGATGTCCAAATGGTAACCTTAGACTCTGTGTAGACTTCAGGGAATTAAATAAAGTAACAATTAAAGATAGATTTCCATTACCATTAATTGATGACCGCCTTGATATGTTAAAAGATAAAAAATATTTTACTAGATTAGACTTAAAAAATGATTTTTATCATGTTAAAATACACAATGACTCTGTTAAGTATTTATCATTTGTAACTCCTATAGGTCAATTCGAATATACTTGTATGCCTTTTGGATTTTGAAACAGCGCTGCAATATTTATGCGTTATATTAATAATATTTGTCATTCTTTGGTCAATTCTAATAAAATTTTGATCTATTTGGATGATATTCTTATAAGTACTGAAACAATTGATGAGAATATTAGCATATTAATTGAAGTATTTGATATTATGACTGAAAATCACCTTCAATTAAGATTAGACAAATGTTCGTTTTACAGACTAAAATTCATTATTTAGGCTATGAGATTAGTCATAAAGGTATCACACCTAATCCAGATAATGTTGATGCTATTCATAGTTTTCCTATACCTAAAAATGGTAAAGAAGTTCATAGTTTTTTAGGGCTAGCCAGTTACTTCAGGCGGTTCGTTAAAAATTTTTCTATTATTGCTAAACACTTATATGATTTATTAAAAAAAATCAAGACTTTGGTTTTGGGGAGGATCAATTGTCAACATTTGAAAAAATAAAATCATTTTTAACATCTCCACCAGTTCTGTGTCTTTATTCACCATTATTAGAAACAGAATTACATTGTGATGCTAGCCAATTAGGATTCGGTTCAGTTTTGGTTCAGAAACAGAAACATGACAATACCTTCCATCCAGTATTTTATTTTAGTAAACGCACCACTGAGTGTGAAACAATATATCACAGCTATGAGCTAGAGTGTTTGGCAATAATTTATGCTCTTAAAAGATTTCATATTTATTTACAAGGTATGCCTTTTACAATTAATAAAAATTTTTAATTAAAAATTAATTAAGTAAAGCATTAATTTTTTATGCCTACAACACTTACTGTTAGTTTTATTTGCACACACTAAATTTTTTTTCTGTATTTTCATCAGGTAATATTAAACCAAGTTTATTTTGGATACCCCTGTCATTCCGAGCCACACGTATCCGAATTGATGCTGGTGTTATAGGATTTTGTAATCCACCACTTACTTCAACGGAAATTTTTTTCCAGACATCTGCGTTTACACCAACTATACCTTGATAAAAAACATAATTCGAAATTTTACGCATATGAAATATCGATTTTTATTCAACTATGCTTTTATCATTCTGTTTTTTAATATTTAAAGTTCAAAAATTGAGACAATATGAAAAAATCACGAAAATTAGCAAATGATTTTGAGTTAAGAATTCGTAAAAATTTTTCTTTTTAAATCTAAGATTTTAAAATGTAATACAAGATTCCTTATAAGATTATCTACCTTTATCAAAAAAAAAAATGTCTATAAGGAAGTTAAATTAAATTTTTATGAGCGTTTGAAATTCAAATTTTTACAACATTGGATATTCACTCGATTTCTCATGTAGCGATTTTCTTATTCTGTTGTAATTCAAAAACGAATAACTGTAGATACATGAAAATTGTACTGAATGTTTATATTAGCATTTCCTCTACACCATACAATTTTGAAAATATTTCGACTCTTTTTGAGCAGTTTACGGAAATTTTCAGTTTTCAATTTTTTTAGTTTCTTTTTTTATAAATATCAATAAAGTTTTATCTGTTGGGCCAAAAAGTGTAAAAATTTAATACAAGGTTCCTAATATATTGTTACAATATCAGTTGAAAATATTAAAAATACATAGGCACAATTTTTTTTTATAATCATTTTAAGATCGAATTTTGACAGAATTTATCTAAATCTCGAAAATTATCAATCATTGTAATTAATAAATTATAAAATGTTCAGTTTTTATAGCTAAGGATTGAAAATTTAAAACAATATTCCATATAAGTAGTTAATTCTGTTACCAAAAAATCTAAAAAATACACAAGCACAGTTTATTTTTATAGTCATTTTAAGTTCAAATTTGTGGTACAATCAGACAAAATCGTAAAGGGATGCCACAAAATTTCAAAAAAGATTCTGAAATACCTCGGGGAGAATTTGACTACCAATTTTCTACTTCAGGTATTGAAATATTCAAATGGAAAGATAACAAAGTGGTACATATTGGGTCAAACTATCACGGTAACGAAATAACATCTGTTGATAGGACTATGAAAGATGGCTCTAGATTGAGCATATCATGCCCAAATCCAATCAAAGACTACAACAAATATATGGGTGGAGTTGATCACGCAGACTGATTGAGGGCATTATATAACGTTGACCGTAAGTCCAAAAAGTGGTGGCTTAGAATTTTTTGGGGACTGTTGGACATAACGTTTGTAAACGCATATGTCATTTATTGCCAAATGTTTGAAAAAACGGATGTATTTGATTTCCGTCGATCAGTTGCCCTTGGTCTGATGACAGCTCGAAATACTCCATCAAGAAAATCTATAAGCCTGAAAAGATCAGCTCCACAAACGCCATCAAATCGAAGAAAGAAAACTTTATCCAACTCCAAAGACGTCAGATTAGGCAGCAGGTATAATAAAACTATTTCATCATTAATTATTTATACTATAATATAATATTATAATATAGTTGATTTTTATTTTATCACAGGGGTATTCATTGGCCAAGTTTTGGTATAAAGAGAGGTAGATGTGAACTTTGCAGTATTCGAGGAGTAGAGTCCCGGCCACTTTCTTCGTGTAACCACTGCCGAGTATTTCTGTGTTGCAATGAAAGGAAAAATTGTTTTGTAGAATACCACCAAGTTGACATTGTATAATTTTTAAAATTATTTACAAAACTTTTAATAATTTTTCTACAATGTATTATTATTTTTTTTTTTTTTTGTAAAATAACAAAGTAAAAATTGGCAAGGAGTCCGTTCATTTTTATGTTTACGATTTAAATAAAATTACATTATCAAAAGTAGATTTCTCGTATTTTGTAATGCAAATTATGATTTGTTATTAATTTTCTTTGTAATGCGTATCACCCTGACGGGACTTTGAAGTCCCGGACAAAAAAGTAAGTGAAGGGCTTAAAAAAAAATTTTGAAAAAAATCAGAGACCTTAGTTAGACCACAATAAAAAATTCTGTCAAAAAAAATTTTAACTTTTTTCATTTTTTCCAATAGCCGGACTCAAAGGGTTAAAAAATAGGTATACATTTTCAAATACAACCAATATTTTGGTTATTATAACCAATTTAACTGAAAAAATAGGTAACAGTAAGTTAATTAAGGATTAAGGTATACCTTCAGTGAGAAAAAAAAAATTTCGGTTTTCAAACGAATACCTAGTTCCACCTAGAGATCCTATTCTTACATAAGCTGACAAGATGGTGCTCCGGCCCATAACTGCCGGCAGGTTCAGGACTATTTAAACAACATTTACGGATGTAATTATCATTATCATCATATTTTGTTTGATTCCTACTTATAAAAATTTTAATATTATACATATAATATTTAAAGTTACACAATTTTCTTCTCGTTTATATTCATATAGGTATTTAGTTACAGTAACCCAATATGTTATGGATACAATTTATACAAATAAGTATTACATAAAATTTAAATTGTATTTTTAAGATAACCGGATGGGTACCCGGAGTCCAGAAAATGCAATGGCCAGCACGTAGTCCAGACGTGGTGTGAATAATGAAATAATATCTATTTTATAAGAACTACGTGAGAGAAATATTATAGTATAATGACTACCTACCTTAGAGAGTATAGCTAATGAGTTAATCGGCCAGCGAGAAAAATATTTCCTAGACGCAGTGTAGTAACGCGGTTTATTGATGACCTCTGGCAAGCTGATTTAATGGACATGCAATCTCATTCTAAACATAATTATGGTTTTAAGTATATTTTAGTTGTCATAGATACATATAGTAAGTACGTATGGCTTGAGGCGTTGAAAAATAAAACATCGAAAGAATGTACAAAAGGTATGTTTAATATATTGAAAAAAGCTCATCCGAAATTATTACAGACAGATAATGGTACAGAATTTTACAATGCTCAATTTCAAGATTTACATTTACAGATAAACAATACAGTTCATACAGTGTTATTAAATGTGCAATCGCGGCACTCGTGATCCAAAGTCTTAAAAATAATATATATAGACATTTTACTGGTACATGGAATTGGTATAATACACTATCAAAAATTACACAAAATTATAATAATAATACAAAACATAGAACAATCAAATGTACACCGAATGAAGCTCGAATGGATACAAACAATATTAAATTTAATACACAAATAAATGATACATTATATAATCCAAAATTTAAAGTTAATGACAAAGTAAGAATATCTAAGTATAAACATATATTTAGTAAAGGATATACACCAAATTGGACAACGGAAATATTTACAGTTTCAAAAATTTACAGACAAATCCAGTAACTTATCAACTAAAGGATGAATCAGACAATATAAACTTAGTTGGTTTTTATGAACAGGAAATTAAATTAACTGATTTTCCAAACACCTTTCTCATTGAACGTATTGTAAAAAAGTTGGGAATAAAATGCTTGTTAAATGGTTAGGTTTTGATTCAAGTCAAAATTCATGGATAACATCATCAGATATTTTAAAATAAAGATTTTTTATGTATAATATGTAATACTTTTATAGTAAAATATTTTTTTTTATTGAAGTCAAAATTAATTATTACACAATGTTATGATCAGCTTGCACTGGTATCATGCCTATGGTCCTGTGTTTTGAGTTGTTGTACTCGTTAATCAACGACGGTAAAATAGAAACCCATTCGTGAGAGCCAAGTGTCGTAAGCTCTCTAAATATTTTTTCTTTAAAAGTGTGGTTAAAACGCTCAACAAACTTTTGTTGTACTGTACGTAGAATATTTGTGTATGTTGTGTTTAGACATTAACGCATCAAATGTAGAATTGTAAAATTATTTACCATTATCAAGCTGTAATAGTTTTGGTGTGCGTTTAATCAGTATTTTAGACGTAGCGCTGGAAACTTCTTTAGCAGTTTTATAGTTTAACGATATTGGCCATACAAATTTAGTAAAACAATCAATTACACATAGAATATATTTATAGTCTTTACTTTTTTTCGAATACGGTATCATTTCGACTAAATCTACCTGCCATGGATCGTGTTTGCCATAAAAATTAACTCTACGCATAGTATAATTTTTTCTAGCTGGTTTGTGGAGTTTTTAAGCTATATCACGTTTAGATATTTGGAATACATTTTATTAACCCGGCTTCATGCAGTTTTTCAAAAATCGAGAATATGTCATTCAAAACGCCTGTATTACCAGCAAAGAAGTCGTAATCGATCGACTAACTCGTTTGGGTCGTTCCAGTATACTAAAATATGTTTTTGTAGCTTCATAGATAAGCCTTTGCCCGATTGAAACAAATTTTGGATTTATTCATGATATTTATTTCCACCTTGTTTCATTTTTCTCCCGTCTGCTTTTAGATGCACTGATGTTAGAAATTAATATAGATTTATATGTTTCTAAATCGTGTTTGGTGTATAATTTTGGAGATTTTGAAAATATTAAATTACCAAGTCCTTCCCAGACAGCAATTCTGCAATGTCATTATTAAATGGATATTGGTTGTCAGTTGATAAATTAATATTGACAATTTAAGATGAAATGGACATGGTATCATTATTTAATTTTAAAATTGAAAATGTTAAAGTTCTAGCAATATTGTCTTGGTGTTGATTATTTAATGTTGGATTTTAAGTATGGGTTCAATATTGCATATACATTGGTTTTCATTGGAATCTAAATATTAAATTTTAAAATGCTATTCAATGATATAATAATGTTTGAATTACAATAATATTTGAATGTTGTTAGAGCAATATTGTATTCATAGTTCTGCTGATTGAAAATAAAACATTGGATTTGTGATGGCTATTCAATAATATTGTAATATTAAACTTACAGCAATTATCAAACATTGTTAGAGCAATATTTTATTCGCATTTTTAGTGATTGAAAATCTAACATTATTATATCAATTGCAATAATGCTTTTGGATAATATTGTATATAATAATATACAGTGTTTGGCAAGTATTCCTTATAAAAAGGAATTAGTTCCGTTCATTTAGAAACAATTGTACCTTAAGAGAAAAGAATTCGTTCCTTCTTGTCATTCCTTTGGAAAATGAACGAGTTCCTTTTTTAGTTCTTAATAAAATGTAATCATTTATGTTTTTTTTTTTTCATATTATGCATACTTCTTTAATTTTTAATTATAATATATAACTACAAGTAGGTACATATTTTATAATTCTATTTTGAAATTTTCTTCAAAATGAAATTGTTGGCCATCGTATATTATGTCGATTGTCATAACGTCGATACTCGATAACGATCACTAATGATAGTAATATACATTATAACATTAAAAAAAATAAATCTAAATTTCAATTTTTACATTCTTGTATTATCTGTGTAAATTATTGAATAAAATCCTGCTTCCCTGCAGCTTATAGGTGTTTTTGACTATATATTAATAAAACTTATTAATTACCATCTAGTCCAACAATATATTGTACCTACAATAAAACCTCGATTAGGTATACTATTTACTTCCTATAAGATATTATGGTTATTCCAGCGCAGCTATAATAATAATATGATTTTAAAACTCGGAGTTGTATAATATTATGTTCGAGTACATAACATTATATAATACGCGTATCGTATACATATAAATTTATATTAATATATACCGTATACGTCCGTACCTATACATATTATAATATAAGATATGCGTACTTTAAATTTATTTAACGTAAAGACAAGTAAACTTTTTATTTAAAAAAATACAATTATTACTGTGACAATCACCCACATTATTTTATAGTTCCCCACCTCAGCTTAACTTCATTATATTAAATTATGAGTACAAAATACAAATACCAAAAAAATATACTTACCTATGGGTTGAAGTATCATCGTTATTATATCGCATATATGAGTACCTATATATTATTATAGTTGTATTTATTTATTAGTTTATTTGATAAATAATTTTTACGCCAGTGAAGGGTAAGAGAACGCAGTACCATAATTTTAAAATTATAATTATTTATAACAATATTATATAAATAGCACAAAGTTATTCAATTGAAATACATTTAAGGCATAATGCTTTCATTTTCTTTAGCATGTATAAGAAGTTCAACACTATCGTTAATATTCTTTACAGAAATCTAACATTCGATATAATATATCAATATAGGGCTGTTTAGAACATTTTTTTTAACTTGTGCTTCAATATATTAGAAACAGCGAAAATTACAGTAGCTATTTCTTATAGTATGTTAAACATAGGCGGAGATTGGGGGGTGCTTGGGGGGCTTAGCCCCCCCAAAAAGATCGAAAGCCCCCCCCAAAATTATTAAACATTTTTCATAGTATAAAATATTAAAATAGGTACTTATTTTACAACGATTGATAAAATCTTGGAACTTTACAAAATATTTTTTTTTCCTGAAATGTAAAAATAAATGTCAATATAATAATAATTATTGTACTATATTATACCTAATCGTCATCGGTGCGCACCGGCTGACCGTCGCGACGGATTGTTATCGCATTATCGCAATGACAAAAATAGAAATTTCCGATAATTAGACTGATAAACATTATTAATGTGCCGATTGCTGTTTTGACCGTTTCGTCTTTCGTGTTGATTGATGTTGACGCGGTGTTCACTGATGTTGTAAATCGTTATTATTATTTATTAAAATGTCAAATTATTTTGAGTTATTTAATATTAAAAAAAAACCTAAAGAAACAGAAACTGTAAAATCTGAAAACGTGTTGCCGACAACTACAGTACACTCCGACTCGTCATCGAATATTAATTCTGATTCTCAGCGGCTTCAAATTAGTGATATAAATGATTTGGGTAATATTAACTCCGGTCCATCACGTCCAATTATGAAGGTAGATATTATGTATTTGAGATAAATATTGGCAATATTGCTTAGGTAGCTTATTTTTATTAAAGTTGTATGCATGCAAAAATGTATAGAGTGACTATTATAGTGACTACTAGGTACTTTTAATGTTCCAGTCTTATCCAATGACAAAATTTGGTCAACAAAACCGTAGTTTTAATGCATCATATTACGACTGCTTTGAATGGCTTGAATATAGTATCATCAATGACGCTTTGTACTGTTTTGCTTGTCGTATTTATGGTTCTGGGAACAAGACCGAAGATAAATTTACCAAAATTGGTTTTAAAAAATGGAATAAAGTAAACATTTTAATAATTAAACAATTTTATTAAATACATTTTTTTTATTTATTACGTTTAAATTTAATATAGTTAAGTGGTTCAAGAGGATCTAAAAAAGGCCATCAAAGTAGACTTCAATCTCATGCAACAACAAAACATCATCTGACTAATATGGAAAAATGGCAGTCTCATAAAGACATTGAAAAAACTGGTAGTGTAATGGCACAGGTTTCTTCTCAACATAAGCTACTTATTGAAAGTAATCGTAGATATCTAAGAACTTTGTGTGAAGTGACACTGTTTTTGTGCAGACAAGGCCTAGCATTTAGAGGCCACAATGAAGCTCCCAGCTCCATGAATCAAGGTATGAAGTGGATAGTAATTTTTTTTTATTAATAATTAAATTAAATTAATTATTGTATTTAGGAAATTTTAAAGAAGCCTGTAATATGATATCTAAATTATATCCTGAATTTGCCCAGAAATATAAAGAGAAAACAAATTATACTAGCCATGGAGTTCAAGATGAGCTTATTAATATTTGTGCAGCTTTATCAAAAGATACCATAATACAAGAAGTTGAAGATGTGGGCATATTTGGAATAATGTGTGATGAAGCTAGGTAATAAATTAAAAATGTTAATTGGAAATTTGATCAATTAAAATTTAATTTGAATTTTTCAGGTGTTTTAAAGATGAGCAAATGGTTTTATGTTTGAGATACTGCAAAGGGTTAGAAATTAAAGAAAGATTTATTGGTTTCATTGATTGTTCATATAAACAAGATGCAGAGACTTTAAGTAAAACTATGTTAGATTACCTCAAGCAATGTAATTTAAACCCTCAATTGGCAATTGTAGCCAAGTCGTATGATGGGGCCAGCGTTATGTCTGGGCGATTTAATGGTGTCCAAGCAAAGATTAAAGAAAAACATCCGTATGCTATTTTTACACACTGCATGGCACACAAAGTTAATTTAGTAGTTCTAGACATGTGTAAAATAGTAAAGGTATGAATTAATTATTTTAAATTGCCTATTTATATTTTTATTTTTAAATAAATGTGTTTTGTTTTAAAATAAAAACCAATTTAATAATATTTCAAATATTAAATTACAGGAAACCAGAAACGTTTTTAACACATTAGAGGCCCTTCATATTCACTTTTCATATCCGACTAATAATAAAAAATTAATCGATATTCAAAATAAGTTGGGTGTTAAAAAAAAGTCAATTACAAGGTTAAGCAACACCAGGTGGAATTGCCGTTATAGAAATTGTGAAGCTGTAATGTCCAGTTATAAAGCAATAGTAGATACATTAATAAATGAGATTGAAAATGAATCTAATAAAGATGTAAATGAAGCAATAGGTAAATATTTTGATTATTGTATTTAATGTTTTAATATATAGATTATAGATACTTTTTGTTAATTTGAAGTTAATGTGTACCTCTTCATTATTATTTTTCAGGAATTTTAACCAATATGAGGAAAGGACAATTTGTTGTATATTTGTTTCTTTTACATAAATTTTTAACAATAATTAATATTTTAACATGCAAATTACAAGAAAAATCTTCAACTCTTAGAAATTCAGCAATTATTATTAAATCTATAATAAAATCCTTAGAGGATTATAAAACCATTGAATGTTTTGCTGAAATTTGGTTGGATATAAATAAATTTGCAACAGTCAATAATATATCTATTGAAAATCCATTCCAAGGTATACCTTAATTAATTGATTACTTAACTATGTTATTAATAAAAATGATTATTGTATTAATTATATTTTAATTTAAAATTTAGGAAATAAAAGAAATAGGAAAGAACCAAATGATCTTAAAAATTTCATTGTCACTGCTAGCACTAGTGCACAGTACACAGAACCTACACAAAGTAACGTACAGACAACTGAAGATTTCTACAGAATAAATGCGTACTATGTGATTCTTGACACACTAGTTACAAAGTTAAAAGAAAGATTTTCGAATGATAGTTTACAAATGGGCATATCTGTTGATAATTTTTTTCAACTAAAATTTGAAGAAAGTCAATTTTTTATTGATCATTATCAAGTAAATCTTCAGTTTTTAGATTTATGATATTAGTACATTAAACATTTTAACTGTTTTCAGGGATTATTGAATTTATCGAAATTCAATATTCAGTCAGAGATGACCGTAGCAAAAAACAGCATCTTGCAATCAGGAAATAAAATAAATTATAATACAATAAAACAAAATATTTCTAAAACTGTGTTTCCCAACTTATACAAGCTGCTACAGGTAGCCATAACTATACCAATCAGCTCGGCTACATGTGAGCGAAGCTTTTCTGCAATGCGCAAAGTCAAGACATGGCTGCGCACGAGTATGCTGCAAGACAAATTTAATAACTCTTCAATATTGTACATTGAAAGAGATATCAATATCAGTATTGAGAAAGTTATTGATATATTTGCCGATAAAAATAGATTTATTGTATTAAAATAATAAAATATTTATTATATTATAAATTAATAATTTTTAAAGTGCATATTATTATATAGTTAGTAATTCATATTTAGTAGTTTTGTTATTTAGTAATTTAGTAGTTGATGCTTACTGAAGAGTGAAGGTATGATAGATATTAGAGTGGGGGTGTGGGGGCAAAGCCCAAACGGCTTACTTTGCAAAGCAACATTTAAGCCCCCCCTCAAATTCGATCAAATCTCCGCCTATGATGTTAAACCAAATATTTTGCAATAATTCCGGGCCGTCAGTATAACCATTCAAATGTTTATATACAAAATATGCGTAAAAAAGTTACATCTAGATTTCTGCAATGAGTTGATATAATATATTAATAATTATTAAATAACTATAGCGCTCCACTTTCAAAATAGGATGACTTACCAGATTAAATATGTATGGGTTATTGTCAGTGTTGAGTCCAGATAACAAAAAAATTATCTAGATAAGATGCAGATAATTTCATAAAAAATTATCTAGATAGAGATAAAGATAAAATTTACCTATATTATCTAGATAATAAAATAGATAAATTCAATATTTTACATATCAAAAACCTAAAATAGGTATTATTAATTTTTACACTCAATTTTATAGGTGATTATGATAATTTGCATGTAAATACAATTTTCCAAGATCTCACCTAGTCACCTAAAGAATCAAATTCATTTTTGTATACATATAGTTATTGATAATTAGCCTGTAAAACTTCATAATCACATTTTAACATTATAAATAAATGTATTGCACTTTAATACTTTATTAGATGATATTATTTGTTAACAAGACTTATACATATAGTTATGTAATTATATTCGAAAATAATATATTAATATCGATTATTTGAACGGCAACATAACAACATCTCAAAAGTATGATCATTGAGGCGGTTTCGTCTGGCTGTAAATACTTGGACGGCTCCACTGAAGAGTCTTTCAACAGGCGCAGAAGATGGCAGCGTAGTATTGTATTTCAAAAAAAATTGTTTAATATTAGGGAAATCATCTAATAAATCTAATTCCTTCTTCTTGGAATTAAAATAAGTTAAAACTTGTAAATTTATAAGGTTCAACTGTCTTGATTCACTGGAATCCAATGTGTCTGATATGTCACTGTTGTTACTAGATGTAGCTGGATTAAACTTGTTGAAACTGGAATAGAAGTCATTGTCACTTTCATCACTTTCTCCATCATCATTGTTTACTGACATATTATAGTTTGATTGATTTAATACAAATATTTTACATTCATCCATAAATAAGTTTACTGCACATATCTTTGTATCTAACTGGAACCCAATTTAATTTGAATTTTGGATTACTAATAGAAGCAATAATAAAGTCTTTACTCTTAGGAGTAGTTAAATCAAATATAAAATGAAATCTTTTCTCCAACCCAGAAATAATGGCAATACTTAGTGGTTTACAATATTTTACTTCTGTTGACGATTGAATTAATAAACGTCTTAATACTAAGATAGTTGGTGCAACAAAACCCAAAAAGCTTTTTTTTTCGCTTTGCAATTTATCCAATGACGTGGCTAATGGCTGCATTATTTTCCAAAATTCTTCTAAGAATACCCATTCATTAGCTTTTAACTTGGTCAAATTTAGTTCACCGAATGTTGAAACTAATTTATCTTTGTGACTTATGATTTTTTGTGCAGCATCAAATAAAGAATTCCATCTCGTAACAACAAAAACAGGAAACTTACATCTACAATTTTCAAAAACTTTATCAGAAGCCACTGTGCTCCTGCTAACAAGGTTCCAAAAACTAGACAATTTATTAAATGTTGATTTTGAAACTTTAACGTAGTTGGCATCTGTAATTTTTGAAACGTCACATGTTGCAATTAAGCTTAGCGTATGAGCGCAACATCTCATATTTTGTGGTAAACACATTTTGTCATCGTCTTTCTCAATATTTTTTGTATTTGAAAATATTGAATCCATTTCGACTATTTCTATGTCTGAATCTTCACTGTCCATTGCATTGTCTGAGCTACAGCTACTTAAATCATCTTCTTCATGAAAATGTCCTGTATATTGCAAATTTGTTTGCTTTATTTCAGGTAATGACGATGAAGAGAATACTTTGAACGATTTTCCAAAGTTACTAGCGTTATCTGTTACAATGTGTGTAACTTTCGATACATCTATTTTGAATTTATCCATCATTTCTGTTAATACTTCCATAATATTTAAATAAGTATGAGCTCCTTTAACTCGTTGACAGCCAAGAACATATGACTTTCTATCATATGTATCTTCAATGAAATGACATGTCATCCCTGAAACACAATAACCCATATTTTTATTATTTTATTTTTAAATGATTCTTTATTATAGTTACAATTACCCATAAAACTCTTGTTGTTGGAGCTCCAAATATCTGCTGTTAAGCAAATATAATAATAATGGGTTTCAATTTGAGTTGTTAACATATCTACATATGCTTTATATGTTACTGATAACTGTTTTGACATGTGCTTTCTGTTAGGAAGAATAGATGAATCATTTAATCCAGTTAATCCTAATAGTAAATTTCGAAAACTCTTTTTTTCACAAGTGACCAAAGGCCGCATTTCATCTACTATATAATTAAACACTAATTCACTGATCTGAAAACAAAATAATACTTAATACATTAGATATATTGGTATCAAATGATATCAACTATAGTATTAAACAAGATTAGAAAAATCAACATTAGTCATATTTCAGTGCTTCACATTAGAATAGGGTTTTAAGAAAAATAGCATAAACATAGGTTTATATAGAATAATATTTTTAAAAAACCATCCCATCTATTAAATCCATCTGCAATCTGCATAGCTTGTGATGTAAACTAAACTTCCGGCAATAGGTTAAATAAATAATTTAATATATTTGAATAAACTTTAATATTATAATTTATATTTTATTACTTTATTAGTCTTAATAAAATGGTATCTAATTAATCCTAAAATACGTAATGTTTTTTTTTTAATGTTAAACTAAATATAATTTTTTTTCTTGATACATATGTGTGCAAAAATTAAACTGCATACAACTATTCCAATATTTAATTTGATGATTTATCAAGAATTATAATTAAATCCTTACTTACATTTAGATAATTAATTTTAAGTATTTATTTAATACATAATATTAAACACTAGGTACCTATTTAGTATTTAATATAAATATTACTTTGATATTGTAAAATCTAAAATGGAATTGTATTTTTTAAAGTTAATTAGATCATAGGTACCACATTATTTACACAATTTATTATTGAGAGTAGTAAAATAATGATCTATATCTACCACCTACACATAAATTAAAATGTACCTACTTAATATGTTTTATGGATCAAATTACCTTTTCCTTGGATACTTTTTTTGTATGCACATCATACATTTTAATTTGAGCAGTTTTTTCTCCCTTATTTTGCCTCGAATTATTAACCCTTGTCATCAATGAGTTATGTTTATGCTGTAAATATTTTAATATTTATAAATTACTTATAAAGTTATAATTTAATATTTTAGTACCTAGATATAAACACTGATAAAAATATTATAAATACTAGCAGAACAATACTATTATAATACTAGTATTTAATCAATGATACTACTAATATTACAATTTACAATCTATAATACGAAAGTATTATTATACTATTATGTGAACTGTATAATATTTGTAAGCTATATAAAATATATATTTATATAATCAGTGGCCCACAAGATATACAGTTCAGGTAAGCAAGACATAGTTTTACCACCTACCAAAAGTTATTAAAATACTTAATTGATTCCATTCAGTTAATAAATAACTTATATTTTTTAATAATTTACATAGGCATGGACACCCACCCCAACAAAATCTTTAAAGGTACAGCGGTTGTGGTTTGTATATGGTATATGCACCACTGAATAGGTCAACATATGTATTTGTAAATTGTAATCAGGCATGATACTTTTCTTTTATTTTATTTTTTGTCGCTGTTTTTGATACTATATTTGTTTATTATTATATATTAGATTAAAATAACATCAGTAAAATGTAACTAATTCACTATAATACCTATAGGCTTTAACTCATACTTTAGTAGATAAACCATAAAATTGATAGGTATATACTATAATATGTAGCAGATAATTATAAATAGTAATAAGTAATAAATATTAGTAGTAAGCAAGGTACGTTCACCCCACTTACCAAAATTTATTTTCAACATAAAATCTGTTAAATATTACAGAAATGAAAATTTACAAAAATGTAGACATATTACAATAAATATTTTAAGCATTACAGATATTTAGAGTTATTTATAGATATTACAATAATTTAGATATATTATAACAGATATTTCGAGTTATTACAATAAATATTTTAAACATTACGGATATTACAAAAAAAATACTTAAAATTCTGTTAAAAATATAAATTTTCCGCCAATCATAAATAAATTGTAAACAAATAACAACCAAAGTATTTTCGTGTTTTTTTTTTTATATATTATATGAAAAAGTATATTACAGCACACCATTAGCTATTCCGTTTATAGGATAGTGGTATTAATTCGTAATATCAAGTTTTCTGACGTCAAATAGAACATTCTAGAAGGTTCTTCTTCTCTAGATTACGTCATTATTGTGTAATATTGCATCATGTTTTTCGAGGTTATAAATACAAGCCACTATTGAGTTTTGACTCATTCGTGGGCATACTGTAGCCATTTTTAGTCGTCTAAATTGTGATGACAGTGAATTGATGCTGAAAACTTTTGAACGACATTTCGACTACAGCCAATGAATCACCAACAAGAAACAACAACTACGGAGACTTCAACACATGAATACGTGGATGAAGAATGCAATAAATATATAAGTAATGTATTAAATAAATCTGATAATTATTTTATTCCGGCTAGAAGTAGAAATCCGTGGATTACTCTAGGTATAATTGAGTCAATTAAAGTTAGAAATAATCTATTAAAAAATGTATTAAAGCACAATAAAGAATTAGCTAAAGCATATAAATCAAAAATAGTACATTTAATTAAAATAGCAAGAGAAAATTACTTTAAAGAACAAATCAATGTAATTAATAAAAATAATCCACAAAAACAATGGGAGTTGTTATATTATTTAAATAGTAATAAGTAATAAATATTAAATGGTTATTTTTAATTAAAAGAAAATTTAAAAAATAGAAATATGTAGGTACATATTATTATACTAAAAACTCACTTTAATATGGCTCAACAATTTTCCACTAGAACTTGTGGATCCACTAACAACTTTCGGGCAATTTTGGCGAAATGCCAAGCACTAATTTCCGCTATACCACCACTATTTAGTGCTCAATTAGTGCTATACAACCGTTGCGTTTTAAAAATTAGTGCTATACCCAGTAAAAAGTTACAGGGGGACTTACCTTTCTCCGCTAACTTCACGTAGCGGGTTCAACACCAGCACCAAAATCCGCTATAGCACCAAATTTTAGTGCTGAATTAGTGCTATTCGATGGTACCGTTTTCAAAATTAGTGCTATGTTTTCCTAAGAGTTATGCGATTTTCCGCATTTCGTCCCAGCGGGTGCACCTTCAGCACCAAAATCCGTTATAGCACCAACATTTAGTGCTGAATTAGTGCTGTTTGATGTTACCGTTATCAAAATTAGTGCTATGTTTCCCTTCGAGTTATGCGATTTTCCGCATTTCGTCCCAGCGGGTGCACCTTCAGCACCAAAATCCGTTATAGCACCAAAATTTAGTGCTAAATTAGTGCTATTCGATGGTACCGTTTTCAAAATTAGTGCTATGTTTTCCTCCGAGTTATGGGATTTTCCGCATTTCGTCCTAGCGCGTTCAACACCAGCACCAAAATCCGTTAAAGAAATATCTGACCAGCAGAAATTTCCATAGAGTATAAATGTATTAGGACATCTTGTGGAATGTTTTGAAATTATCGGATCAAAATTGGACAAAATATTGAGAAAAATGGGTTAACAATTACTACCCAGCGGTCACCATATATATGAATGTTGGGTTTGTAACCAGTACGTAAAGAAATATCTGTCCAGCAGAAATGTCCATAGAATTTAACAGTACCTATTATTAGGTCTAACTTAAAGAAACTTGAGAAACAAATTTAAAGTGTATCGGACCGATATGAATTCATTTTTTAAAGAAATCAGTTCAAAACCACACATTCGT